AGGCTGATTAATGTTCCATTACATGGACGTACCGTGCTTGGCATATGTATTCCTCAGCTGATGGTGCCCGGGTCGTTGCCACGGGAGTACCCTTTAAGAGGTAGATGTGTGGAGCCCAGGCACAGTTTGTGCCTCAGGCTTTCCCTTGAGACGTGGAAGGCCATTTTAGCAGATAGCTGGACATACGGTGCAGCCTTCATCTCGCCCAGGAAATCTCCCTGGGGAAGAAAACATGCATGTAAAAGTGAGGTCAGAGCCAAGGGCCATTGTGACTGAGTAAGATGAGCATACGGCTCTCTGCATGGTTGTTACGGTATGACAGTTATCTCTAATCTGCCTGAGGTAGAATTCCTTTTCTTGTAGGCAGAGGAAAAGGCACAACATACATGTTTGTATTTGAAAAACAAGTAGTCAGAAATTGAGCCGAATTATTTCTTCATAGGTGGGTTTTAGCTTTTCTCCAGGAGTTTTGGAGCAAGGTGAGCAGTACTGTGAATCTTTGTCCTGAGTTTTGTTGTTTCCAACATGTTTAATTAGACTGGAGAGTGATGTCAGGAGTACTCGTGAATGAGGAGCATAGCAGTAGTTCTGTGTTTTTGGATGTCTTTTCCCGCCAAGTGTGGTAGTGATCAGCTGTGAGACGATGCTAGTTCCCAGTAGCAAAGAAGCCCTCTGCCCGGTGAGCATGTGTAGCTTTCAGTGGAGGAGCAGCTGGTGTCCTCCTGCCCCAGTGGTCACAGCTCTACCTCCCCATTACTTATGCTGCTTTTGGCCTTTACTGTCCAGGGACCTTTTCAGAAGGCTGCTTTGGTGCTTTCTGCCCTTCTCTATGTGATGTCATGGGCCATGTCTGATTTACTGTTGGTTTCCTTTTATTGGCATACTGACTGACAGGATAGCAGGCCCTCGGTGTGTTATGTTGAGTAGGGGGGAAGATGAGGGAGGGGGTAGACAGATAGATGGGAGAGCAGGCGAGCAAGCTGCGCATGGAGGGCAGTGAGAGAAGGGTGGTGATTGTATTGGGGTATAAGGACTCTTAAGATTGGGGAGAGTGCTGGAGATGGAGGGCTTGTGAGATAGAGGCTGGAGACCATTCTGTAGGCAGGAAGAGGTGACTGGGTAGTTTAGAGCTAGGGAATGACTTGATGAAACTGGGATTTTAGCAACGGTAATCTGAAGGGAGGTGATTAGTAAGAGCACTGGCTGTGGGCACTAAATCAGAAAAGAAACGTATCTAAAAAGAGTGAAAATGACCTTTTATGTCTGTTAAGGATAAAAATATATCATTTTGTTAGACATGAAAACATGACAATCAGAGTGTTGTATCTTCTCCCCCGCTAACCACCCCTCCTGCTGTATAGGGAAGCACTTGTTCCGGTGGATTGACTGTGGAGGGAGAGAAGGAGTTCAGAGGTCCCACTTCAGGATCGTTTTCTAGTTGTAAAGCAGTAAGGGTGGGAATAGAATAATAAACTATTAAAATGACATAAACATATATGAGAGAATGTGAGGCGTATGTATTTTTTGTTGTGTATTAAAAGTGTGATTAAATGGGGTAGGGATCCAAAATATATAAAGAATTCGATTTTTTTGGACAGTAAATTTAGACAGTAAACGTGAAACAATATATTTCTCTTGTGCATTGTTACAAATCTTATGGTCAAATCAGATTATCATTTGAGTATTAGTGTTAGATGGAATTTAGGCATTTAATTATAAATTATAAACTATTGTATTTAATTATGAACATATAAATGATAAATCTTTCAATTTTTTCTTCTAGATAACTTCTATGTGGATGATTATGGTAGATTTACTGTCTTGGATTCCCAAGGCCAGACTGCTGCTGTAGCCAATAGTATGAACTATCTGACGAAGAAAGGTAATTATCCACTTCTGGCTTATCTGAGAGTCAGCCTTTTTTTTTATATTAGCGAAAAATAATTCAATCTTTAGTATCTATTGGGAAAGATATTCCATAATTTCTTTCATTAATTTTTTTCTTATAATGATTTGGATCTAGAAAATACCTATTTAAAATTGAATTCTTTATATATTTTTGAAAATTCAAATGTTAACCTTTGAAATTTTATATGAGATATTCAACTCAAAAGAAAAAACATTTATGATATAAAAATGGGTTGATGGAGTGAAAATTGGTTTGACCTCACTCTTTATTGACAACATTGGCTTATTATTTTAGCGTTTACTTAGTTCTAGGAATCCTTCTGTAAGTTTTTAAACTGATTTTTATGTAGAATTATTTACTTATGCTAAAAATGTGCGAAATGATATCCTTTTAACGGCAGCCAGATACTTTTCCCCTCTGGTCACACTTACTACCCTTTTAAGAGCCCTGACTGTCCTGTAAGGCAGCTGTTCATGTCCCTGCTTTAGTCTTCTCGCGGGGTGAATTTCCGATGATTTGAATTACAGAATTGCTCTGATATTTTTAAGTATAGGCACTTGCCCCATTTAATTCTTCAAAGAAATTGGTTCTGAGGGGTCCTGGGGCAGTGCTGTTACACTAATAGGACTAAGGACAGAAGGAAACAGATTGTGTTAGACATTATTTAACACTTTGACTCTTATAGTGGGCATTAATTATAAAAATGACCTTTTCTTTTCTTCTACTCTTTTTCCTTTACCTTTGTCCAGGAATGTCCTCCAAGGAAGTTTATGGTAACTTTAAACTTCAGAATGTTCTCTTTCTTAATTATCTTATGTGGTTTCAGGCAACTCTGTGATTCAGAATTTACTGACATTTTATTGTGATGTTTCTGGAATCTGTGGGTAACAGTAGAAAATTTATCAGTGCAGATAATTTTGTATAAATGTTTGCAAATAATTTTAGTACGTATCAATTATAATATATAAGTATATAAATTAATATGATTAAATACCATAATTTGTTACCCACATATTCAAAAGTTCTCTTTCATTTTACACGCTACCAGATGGCCAAACCATAATAGCATAAGTGCATGACCGTAGTTTGTAATTAAGCCATGTGGAAGGGTACCCTGCTTTCATTGTAGTATAGAAGTTTCACTACTTTTGCTTTGAATCTTTATTAAACTTGTCATTTTCTTAGTTCTTGCATGGTTTTCAGAAGTTACTTGGCTTAATAACAGTATTGAAACATAGAATGCTTTTTTCCATACAACTCACTGTATGTTTTTGATTTTCTACAGATGATTCTTTTATTAGGCCAGTAACTTTTTGGATTGTTGGGGATTTTGATAGCCCTTCTGGAAGGCAGTTACTGTATGATGCTGTTAAACATCAGGCAAGTATCTACAGTTTCATGCTCTGGTTTCTTTGGACACTGCTGTGTTCCTCATGGCAAATGGGTGCTGACATGGTTGTTCTGGTGGGGAGGTGGGAGTCCTGCTTTCTTAGTGCTTGGGGGAAAGGCATTGTTTCTTCGGAGGTCTGCCAGCTAGTAAGAAAGAAGAGATGACTGCAATACTCTGGCTTCATTTGAGGGAATAGATTCTTTCAGAGAAAAAAGTAATGAGATCCTCATCACAGACAAATTTTTATTGCATGACTGTTCATGGTCTCACTGTAGAGGTGCTGCAAAGATCATGTTATATATTGTATGGGAGAGACGGGGTCTTCACATAGAGAAAGGTCTGGATGTGGGGGAAATGCCGTGCAGACATGCTAGTGCATGTATAACAGAAGTAGGTCTGTTATAGATGGTCGGAAAGACAAGCAGTTCCTAAGCCGTAGAACTTAGTGAATAGCAGTGGCAAATGGGCAAGAAGAAATTGGAGCTTCTAGAGAGTGTCCTTGTCAGAGAATGAGATGTTAAATTCCTTTTCCTGAGCAGTTTCACATTGGATCTTCATCAGAATTGCAGCACTGCCACCCTGTGTCACAGGAGGCTTACTGAAACACTGAACTGTCCAGGTGGTCTTCACTTCACTAACTGCTGGGTGCCTTTATTGTCTAAGGGAACAGTCTAGATGCTGTGGTCAATTCAGAGGTAAATTGGAGTGAAGGGAAATAGATATATGTAAGACCTCCAACTCCAATTTATAAATGCTCCAGTGGTGGCAGAGTGGAGAACAGGAAGGGAGAGTTGAATTTTTAAAATAAATACTTTAATTGAAGAAAAATAGGTTCAAAAGAAGTACATGGATCATAGGATACACAGTGTCACAAAGTGAACACACCCGTGTGACCAGCCCCAGGTCAAGAAACAGAGAATCAGCGAGTTCCTGAATGCCCCCCAGCAGCGCTCTGCTCGGGATGACCTCTGCTCACATATGCTAAGTGTGCCTGTCTCTTACTCCATTTAAATGGCATCTTATAGTACCTATTTGTGTTTGGTTTCTTTACTAAACATTTTTGACATTCATCCATGATACTTCAAATACTGGTAGGCAGTTCTTCAGTGTGTAATATTCTATCATATTGTGGCTATACCACAAAGTTTATTTGTTTAATCTATTTGATGGATGTATTATTTCTAGTTTGGGGCTATTCTGAAGAATGTTGCTATAAATATTCTTTTATATGCCTTTTGATATACTTAAGTATGAATTACACTTTTTTGGTTTTATGGATCCCAGGTACTGTCTTCCACATGGATTCTTGCCTTACTCAGGGAGAGATTAATTTTTACTAGGAATCTGGAGAGGCCAGATGAACAAAGAAGGGTTTGAGCAGGGCCTTGAAAAATGGTTGGGACTTGAGAAAATAGAGACAGGAATGTAGTTGGGGTTCACAGTTGGCATGAGGTACGCTGTGTATTAGAGGAACGCAAAATGCACTGGGGAACTAGAGGACTCTGTATTTACAGGGATGATAATGGATGAGATTGGAAAGGTAGACTGGGACCTGGTTCATGTAGGGGTTTGGATGCCTGGCCATAGCATTTAAATTGTATTCTGTGTGCAGAAGGCTACCGAAGGCTTTGAAGAGAAGTGTTATTTGCTACTTAAGGAATATGACTAATGTTAACACCACATTTTAAGTTCACAACATCTACCATGTAACTCTTATTTCCCATTTTGTAAATAGAAATCCAGTAACAATGTTAGAATAAGCATGATCAATAATCCTAGTGAAGACATACGTTATGAGAACACTCAGATCTCCAGAGCCATCTGGGCAGCTCTGCAAACACAGACCTCCAACGCTGCTAAGAACTTCATCACAAAAATGGCCAAGGAGGAGACCGCGGAGGCCCTGGCCGCAGGCGCTGACATCGGGGCGTTCTCTGTTGGGGTGAGTGTGCCTTGCGGGAGGCTTCCTCATTCTCTTATTTGCCATGGAAGTTCACTGCTGTGAGCTGCTGTGTTCAGTTCGTGATGAGGATTTGTGATTTGAGTTCTGAGTTTCAGAGGACTTTTTTTTTTTAATTTGGAAGAATTTTTCCAAGAAATAACAATACTGCCTCATTCCCTTTATTACTTTTAAACTTGCTAGGGTTCAAAATGTGTCTGATACAAGTTTATGTTTAAGCACAAAACCATGTTTTGTATAGTTTTTGAAAGATAGACAATATCAGATTTGTTTATAGAGCAAAAAAGTGAGGTGTAAGCCACTTACAAGTTAGAGGCTATGTATTCTTGATGTGTTTCTAATATGTTTATTCATTTGTAGAAGTTACTGTTTTTGACTGTTTTGCAATTTTAAAATTTCTTATAAAATAATGCATATACTTGACAGAAAGGCTCTCACTTGAAATTAGCAAGATTTTAAAAAGAGTAAAACTTCACGAAGAATAATTTGCTAGTTGGATGATTATGTAAAAGAATAGGAAAAGGAAATAAGCATTACTTGATAGGTGGATGGGTAGGGGAAAATCAGGGACAGTGGAGGACTGAGACATCATAAGATTGATTATTTAAATGAGCTGTTACTTTCCACTAAAAGAGAATTTTGTGATTTATTCATTATACTTCTTCATTTTAATGGCTTGCTTAATAACAATTACTTTTCCTTAATAACAATTACTTTCCTAGGGCATGGATTTCAGTCTTTTTAAAGAGGTCTTTGAATCTTCCAAAATGGATTTCATTTTGTCTCATGCCATGTACTGCAGGGATGTTCTGAAGCTGAAGAGAGGACAGAGGGCGGTGATCAGCAATGGAAGGGTGAGGATTCTGTCCTGAGACAAGCTTGACTTCAAGGTAGATGAGTGAGCAGTCTCGGCAGCACTCTCCTCTGAAGCTAGTAAACTCTCCAGACACCACGACTCTCTTTCCAAGGGCGGTCAGGGCTTATGCAGTGCCGATGGTAATCTGCACCCTTCTTTCAAAGGAAGTTTGCTTTTTGACATGAACATCCTGTGTGAAACCTTCCTGCTGTTTAGTGTTGTCCTAGGAGTGGCTCTCAGGACATAACTCAGCAGGCCTTTGATACACACAGTGTTCGTCCTCTGTGGGGACCAGGTTGAGAGTGGTGCGCCCTTTGAACCTAACTGGTTTAGGTGTGGCACGTCTCATAAATGTCTGTGCCCGCTGAAGTCAGACCATGGTGGACATAGCAAACTTTACATGCTTAGCCTTTAGGGTAAAATCTCTGGTAATTGTCACTCCATGACTATTTTGGCTTTGTTATTTCTGTCCAGTGGGAATTAACAAAAGCTTATTGCTATTTTATTGTACTTCAGAGTTGCTGTGAAAATATTGTGAAGTATACAAGCCCTCACTCTGTGTGGGTGAGGAACTGATAAGTAAATAAATAGCTGTATGAGGTGATTTGGGTTTCATTATTACTTTATTCATTGATTGTATTTAGACCTCGTATGTCCCAGATCTTTAAAGTGACTGGGTTTGTAAGGCGGCCCCAGGACAGCGCTGACTCCAGCACTGACTGCCCCGCTCTTCTCGCAGATCATTGGGCCACTGGAGGACAGTGAACTCTTTAACCAAGACGATTTCCACCTCCTAGAAAACATCATCTTAAAAACTTCAGGACAGAAAATCAAATCTCATATTCAGCAGCTCCGGGTAGAAGAAGATGTGTAAGTCTTGCAGCCGCAGAAATTCATTAGTCTGTGTCACAGGGACCATGCTAGTGGGCTGTCTTCCTGCCCCCTGTTCCATGACGCTCTATTTCCAGCTTTAAAATGTAATCGTGCTCCTCAATTCAAGTGTGTTTTATACTTCTGTTGAAATCAAGTTTATTTTGTAGCCAGCTATTTAAAGAACTGAATTCATTCTCTCCTTTTTTTTTTAACTTTTGATTGTGGAAAGTTTAAAACATACACAAAAGTAGAGGGGTGAGCTTATTCATTAACTTGGAATGCTGATTATGTAAAGAAGTACTTTCCCTTGTTGCCTGTTTGGTTACCTTTGGCGTTGGTTCCGGAAAGGAGAGGCAGGCTAATGCTTCTTTCCCTTTATTTACCAGTGTGGAAGCATGAGTTGTTTCTTTTTGTATCCTACAAAGGGTATTGTTGGGCTTTTATTTTCATTTTAATTCTTTCAGTGGTGTTTTTAACTAATATATTTTAGTGAGTTATTTCTCAATGAAAGAAAATAAATTATTTGACTTGCCTATGTATCTACTGTGTAACTAGAACCCATAGTCATATACACATACATAGTTTTGCATTAAACACCAGATGAATTTGTAGTTGGGGTATATATTTTTATGCTTAATTTTTTGAGGTGCCATTGTACCTTTTCCCACAGAGGCTGAACTACTTGACTTTCCCACCAGTAATACCTAAGGGCTCCAATTTCTCCACATCTTCATCAACCCTTGTTACTTTTCTGTTTTCTTAGTGATACCCATGCTTATTGGTGTGAAGTGGTATCTCCTTGTGGTTTGATTTGTACTTTCCTAATGATCAGTGGTGGTGAGCAGTTTTGCATGTGTTTATTGGCCATTTGTACATCTTTGGAAAAGTATCCAAGTCCTTTGCCCATTGTTAACTTTATTTTTTATTGTTGAGCTGTAGGAGTCCTTCAGACTTTCTGGGTATTAATCCCTCCCAAGTGTCCGATACACACGTACCCTCCCCCATTCCGTGAGCCGCTGCTTCACTCTCTTGTCTTGCCCGTTGGTGCATAGTTGGAGGACATAAAATCTGAAAGTTCTGGTTTTCTTCCTCCTCTTTTTCATATGTCATCATGGTGCAGAGTTCAAGATGTGTGTCTCCGTGAAGTGTTGACTTTGACAGTTGCCAAGTCTTGTGTGATGTGGGAAGGAATCTTTTTTCATCTCAGCCAGTATGGGGCTACAGATAAAGGGGTTCTCTCCGGCCTCAGTGGCTCCTGAGTGACACCCCTTGTTCTGGTCGATAAAACACTTCTAATGCAAGCCAGGGGGCTGTGCCAATCACGGATGCAGGCTTGGTGTGGTGTGCCCTTGGACCACTTCTCTCTGGAGTCTTTGGGGATGATGCAAAGCCCAACTATGCACAGGCTTGCCTTTTACCAACCGGAGATGGCTCTGGGTCTGTTTGGAGTGAATTTAGGGATATGCAAAGCCCAACTATGCACAGGCTTGCCTTTTACCAACCGGAGATGGCTCTGGGTCTGTTTGGAGTGAATTTAGGGAAATAAGGTCGAATTGTGAGGGTTCTCAGAATCTCCTTGCCTATCTAGGGTTTTCCTTGGTGCCAGAGCTGCTCCTGGAGCGGCCCGTTGTGACAGCCTCAGCATTCATGCGTGATGCAGACCTGTGGCCACGATGCCATCCTCGGCTTTCTGAAGATACGGTGCTTCATGAGCCCCTAGGGAGTTTGTTTTCTGCTCCCCACCCCAGTCCACATAACCAAGTGGCCCTTGACAAGTTTTGTGTCAGTGCTGACAATCACAGGAAACAATGGCCTGTATCATCTGTATTCAGAGTTAGTGTCAAGAAGTACTGAGAGATAATTTGATACAGTTGTTTAGTTTAATGAGAAAATGTAGAGGCTTGATTCCTTTCCAAATATATTCACAAGTGCTCTTCTAGAATTCTTGGAATTTAGTCCTCAGTTCAGCAGATCAGGGCATTTTTTTCAGTCTCGTGATTTAGTTCAAGATCTTCCTTAGTTAGGAATCAACTTTAGAAGAGGCAGGGAAAAGCAGAAATGCTTTCCTGAATTGTTTACTGCAGTGATGACTGTAATAGTGAAGTCAGAAACAACCGAGATGTTCAAAAGCTAGTGAGTTTTATAGATTATGTATCCCCCGCCAAGATAAAATATTATGTAGTCATTGAAAATACTGCTGTACCCCTCTGTTAACCCACAAAAGATGTTTATAATGCTAAAGGAAAAAGCAGGTTACCAAATAATATAATGTCACTTTTGTTTATGTGTATACACACACACACACACACACATATTAAAACATACAGAAGAATTATGAGCCAAATGTTATTGGTGCTTATTTCTTTTTTTTAAATTTGTATTAAGGTATTATTGATATACACTCTTATGAAGGTTTCACATGAAAAAATAATGTGGTTACTACATTTACCCATATTATCAAGTCCCCACCCGTACCCCAGTGCAGTCACTGTCCATCAGTGTAGTAAGATGCCACAGATTCACTGTTTGCCTTCTCTGTGCTACACTGTCTTCCCCGTGACCTCCCACACCGTGTGTGCTAAACATAATATCCCTCAATCCCCTTCTCCCTCCCTCCCCACCTGCCCTCCCACATGCCTCCCCTTTGGTAACCACTAGTTCCTTCTTGGAGTCTGTGAGTCTGCTGCTGTTTTGTTCCTTCAGTTTTGTTTCATTGTTATACTCCACAAATGAGGGAAATCATTTGGCACTTGTCTTTCTTCGCCTGGCTTATTTCACTGAGCATCATGTCCTCCAGCTCCATCCATGTTGTTGCAAATGGTAGGATTTGTTTCTTTCTTATGGCTGAATAGTATTCCATTGTGTATATGTACCACATCTTCTTTATCCATTCATCTACTGATGGACACTTAGGTTGCTTCCATTTCTTGGCTATTGTAAATAGTGCTGCTGTAAACATAGGGGTGCATATGTCTTTTGAATCTGAGAAGTTGTATTCTTTGGGTAAATTCCAAGGAGTGGGATTCCCG